TTATATATATATATATATATATATCTCTAGAGACACAAATATATATATATATATATATATATATATATATATATATATATATAATATATAAACATATATATATATTCATATATATATATATATATGTCTATATATATATATAAATATATATATAGATATAGATATAGATATAGATATATATATATAGATATATATATATAGATATAGATAAATATACACACACACACACACACACACACACATTTATATATATATATATATATATATATAATATATCATTGACTGTTTTTTGTGCCTATGTAGTGAGATGATGAAGATTGCGGGCTGTATAATAGCTACTGTAGGGAAGAGATATACATAGCTATTCCATTTGAGATTTATATGCGTTTAAATAGGATCTAAACACTAATTCTTGACGACGTTTAAGGACACGACGTTGATATATACTCAAAGATACCTTCGGAATGAACATACATGACGTTCTGTTAGAACCAGGATGCGAATATAATACCAGGATAAAAGTTGTAACAAATCATACGCAAGCTAATGCCACTGTATGCATCTAAGCACAACACTATCAGCAGTCTCGCCAGCACTTAACCGTTGCCATAGAGGACACGCATAAAACTTGGGACTTGGAGCATGCAGCTATAAGCAATCGGATACATACACACCCTGACAAGCTGTTTTGGGCAAACAGATAACTTACGAGCCAATAGAGACTCGATTATGCGATAAAAGAAGGTCATCAGGTCAAACAAGTCATTGCTTTTCTTCAAGGAACTGCGAGTGCAACCTCAGCATAAAGTCATCAACATGGCGTATTCGAATCTCGTCCGATATAGACATAACATCCCAAACTATAACACTCTCCATAAGAAAATACAAGGCCAAACATTAAACATTAACTAAGAAAAGTGACTACCTTTACCATGACACACGCTGTCAACACGATACCGGCCTTTCCTAAGGCCTCCGACGAATGTGACCACGTATATCCTATGTCTATTATATTATACGAACGATATCATACGTATAGTAGGGCTGCATCGCCCGTAACTTACAACTACGCATGAGTATGATGTCACTGTAGATGGGGCACGTTGCGGATAAGCGCATTGAGTCGCCGTACATGGGGGTGTCGCCGTACATGGGGGTGTCCATTACGTGCTGTGATAATCATACACTACAAAGAGTCCTACTAGAGTCATGTGACACGCGAACCTCTATCCTGCTGTATAAAGCTAGTTTGGGATATCGCAGGATACGCCCATACACGACATACACCTCGAGCCCACTCGACGAATAGACTGCAGTACTATAGCAACACCCTCTATACACACTCAGAACACCACGACAGTAGCGGGTATACACCCTTCAAAACAACCTTACTTACCCATAGCACCATTGCGAGCGAGTCGTCCTCTGTGTTGAATATTATTGCCGTCCGTTTAAACAAGAAACATACATATCCATCCTTTATCTATAGTACACGACACGACACTACAATGCAAAAATTTAATAGCATTCAAGTACTATACCATAGGGCATAGATAACAGTCCTGAGTCCAGTAATTACTTGATGTATAAAAATTGAATTATGATAACGTGGGGCGGGGTGTATCGTCTTGCGTCTCTACTCTAGAGAGAGTACTATGTTCTACTATACAACAAATCAGAAATGATTTGGTTGATTTCCCTCCATTTTTTTGTTGAAAAAAAATCCCCCCCCCAAAAAGGGCTAAATAGTAAATAGGGGTCCAACTTTCAGGGTTCCTTCAGCTTCAGTATAAAAGCCGGTAAATACTGTAGTACAACGGTATCATATTTATAAATACAA